AGAGACTAGAACAGAGTTGTATCTTCTAGTTAATATATTATTTAATCCTTTAATATTTACCTTTACTTTTATAATTTTTATTTTTATATTATATTTTATCTTTATATTTATCATTATATTTATTAATAAAATCATATCGCATTAAATATTTCCATTAAATCTTTAATTTGTTAATTTGTTATATAATTCTAAATAAAATCTAAGTTAATCTTGTATAAATACTCTTTAGCATATACATCTTATTAAGTGAACAAGCTAATTTGATATGCTAAAACCCCACACAATAAAGAACTCACCTTGTAATATTCATTTGAATTCACTATTAAATAATTAAATTGAGTTGATCTTAGTGATCCTTGAGAAATTCTGAAAATTATTTAAGTAGTTTAAGTTAGTTTAGTTTAAAAATATTAGTTATCCTTCAGACCCTTATTCATATATTGGTATGACAATATCTATTAGTTTTACATATAACATCTTATACTACAATATCTGAAAATTGGTATTAAAGTTTTAATTAAGAAGGTAACATCTAAAATAAATGAGTAAGTGTATTATTATCATCAAATCTGATAGCTATTTTTCATATTGGATTATGTAATGATGATTCAAACAATTTTATATATAATTTAGCTACATCGTTGATATCATTTTTGCTTTGTAAATGAAAATATTGAATTACATAATATAGATCATTGTTGTAAATCATTTGTCCCAAAAACTTTGTTTCAAGATATTGTCTTTGAGTAGATACTCTCATTTTACATTAGACAGTAAGAAATTCAATTTCTTTCATAATCTCAAGAGGTATTTGTTTGTTATCTCCAAATTGAATAATATTAGAATTTAAATTATATGAATGAGTATTATAAAATGTAGTAATATATACATGGTTAAAAAAATTTTCAGCAATAGGTTCAGAAAGATTAATATGCCAAGTACAACCAATATGTTTTGTTGTTATTTGTTTGCTGGTAAATTTGGTTACATAGTCACCTTGATATTCACATTGTACAGTATGTTTATGAAATGTTCCATCAGGTTTTCATATAACATGATTATATATAACATTAAACTTTTGCTTTTTTGTTCAACTCTATATAGTGTCGCACCAATATGTGGACAAAGGTCTGAAGGATAACTAATATACTTTAACTAAACTAACTTAAACTATTCAAATAATTCTCAGAATTTCTCAAGGATC